ATGTAGTGTTTGATTAGATATGGCAATTTGAACCATCAAAATCGAAAACCGCGGTTAATCGAACCGAATGGGTCGAAAAAAATCGAACCGATGATGCAATGGGGCGGATATGGTTTTAATTTTAATGAACCGGTTCGTAATGGTATGGGTATGGTATTTACGTCGTTGAACCGAAACCGAACCGATTATCCGCTAAAAAAAATCAAAAAACAAAAAAACACAATTGAATTGATTATGGGCTTTACATTACTTTTCTATCCAGACCAAAACAAAATCCCTCCCCTCCTCATTACATCTACCTGACTCATTCAGCCAGCCCACTTACCATTAGCCCATAATAGCATTAGAATGACAGTATATAAATACAAACCCTACTCTCCACAAACCACAAACTCACGCACGGCTCCACTGCCTCTACGGTCCAAGTCATCATCGCCTTCGAAAATTTGTTACATTTGTTAGCCATTTTATTACTGCTGATAATGTAAAAATAGAGTTCGATATTTTTCTAGACGTGCCAAATTGCCAAGGATGAATAGGAATCAACTTTGAATGCCGATCTATGCTAGTAAGACTTATAGGGAAGAATAAATCAAGTAACTTCGATGCACAACAATTAAGAATGAAGGAAAAGTTTAGTATTATTATATTTATAATATTGTTTATTAAATTTGTATTTTACAATTGAAAATTAGGATAATTTTTGCATTTACGTTTGGAATATTGTTTGATAATGTTTGCATTTTCATTCGGGATATTGTATTTTTGTTTTCATTGACTTTTTTCATAAATTATTTTATATCAATTTGACGGATGAACCTATAAAAAATAATTTATTTTCGTTGTTATTAACCGAACCGTGCCGAACCGAGATACGAACCGAACCGATTTACGTGGTTATGGTATGGTCAAAAAATTGGTGGTGCAGTTATGATTTTGACCGAACCGACCCATAACCGAATCGTTGCCAACCCTATGTTTGATTGCTATATTTTCTTGGGAATTCCATTTCACTTTTTTCCCCACACATGTGCCTTTTCCTTAAAATGGTGGGAAATCCTTGAAATGGTGGAAAATCGAATTCCCACCATTCTTTTTTAAAATTTCAACAATGGTTACAAAATCTACCAACAACTGTAAAAAATTTATCCCTTTAATTGATAATTTTCATGAAAAACAAGACCAAAACATCCAAAATTTCAACATTTTTCAAATGAAAAATTATACCAATCAAACACATTTAATTGACAATTCCTAGAAAAATAAATTTTAGACAATTCAATTCCCTAAAATTCGTTTTCTTTCCACCCAAATTCCATCCTTGAATTGGTTTTCCACCCATCCTTGCCATATCAGCATTTTCCTTGGATTTCAATTTGGTTTTCCAGGCAATTTTTTTTTTTTGTAATTGAAACAAATTCTAGGAATAATTGTAAAAGATGATATCCGTTAAATTGACAATTTTTATGTAAAACAAAACCAAACGAACACTAAAAGATAAATGATTTTTGGATGATTATTGGTTTTCTTGGCTTTTTTTTTTTTGACAATGGAAATAAATTCCATCCCCCAATATCAGTAAATTCTATCCATTTAATTGACAATTTTCATGTAAAACAAAGTTAAACGAACCAAAAAAATACTTTTATTTCAATATTTTTCACGTGAAAAATTATACCAATCAAATACAATGATTGACAATTCCCAATAAAACAATTTCTAGGCAATTCAACTCCCAAGAATTCATTTTCTTTCCACCAAAATTTCATCTTTGCAATCAAAAGGACCCTAATTGTTCATACTTCATATTGTAGTTAGATTGAGATTAAAATAGTTACTTATACAATTCTGTCCAAAATTATCCAACAAAATTCCAAAATGAGGAAGAATGTGTGCTTTTTGTTGGAAATTTACTTAAACATGCACAGCGAAAATAAAAACAATTTCAATTCTCACCATGATTCATCTTTGTATTTAGAAAAAAACTGTGATAAAAATTATATATTTTCTTGAATTTGCAAACTCCTTTGCTTTATCTTTGTTTCAGCAACTTGGATCTACCTCACACAGCTGTCCAATTGTCCAGCCTCCAATAAATTCCACACAGAGAACATATTGCAACCACCATGGTTTTCTCCTCTTGTACTAGCTAGAATTATGAAAATTCTACAGATCTAAAACCCTAACCATGTATTTATATAAGCCCATACGAGCTCGGCCTAGTCCAATCCAATATTTAATTAATCCATTTAATTAAATTCGATCCATGAATTAATTAATCCAATTAATTAATTCGGAGCTATAAATAACCAATCCAATTAATTAATTTATCCAACGATTGTTAAATTAATTAATTGGCAAATTGCAATCTTCCAATTCTCTTTTGTGTGCGACCCATCAGGTTCCCGACCACGATGCCTAACGACATGAAATATTATTTTGATCTAATCAAAACTGATAAATTAAAACATCCTCTTAATTTATCACAAATTCACACTCGCCGTCCCAAATTGACATCTAGCAATGTATCAGGACAACACATGTGACGGGAAATGTCACGTGGTATGATAAAACCAAACCCGTTCGTTTACCATGAAACCATAATCCCTTCGTCAATATGATCCGATCAATTACGAGATATGGAAGTATGTTAATCTCGATTCGATCATATCTTTCATTCTACTATTAAGTCAATATGAGTCGAAAACTCTTTTTCGACTTGTGTGTATACCTTGACCAATGATTTCGTTATTGACTTAATTGAACGAAATGCAAATCACAATCTCTTACTATCTAAGAGTGACGAATCCTCTCTTGGTCACTCACAACCTTCATATGGTTCTTGACATACCCGAACGATGCTGTATTAGCGGCCCTTGATAGAGCAACATCCAACACCGTCAAAGCATGACTGTCCTCATACAAGGTACTATGATGACCTCAAGTCAAAGGACCAATTCCACTACCGAACGTTAGAGATTAACCACTGACACTCAGATAGTTATCCATGTGGTATCTCTTAGTGGGTCTCCAATGTTTTGTTCTATAACAAAACATCCACGTGTTCATTTAAATGTCACCACACTTTTGCTTGTGAGATCATGTACTTACTTCACAAGTAGAAAATGTCACACGTGATGGTCTATCTGTAATAACGATATCCGTATCTCGTTATTACTTACGACCACGGATTATTCAACATCTAATTATACGTAATTTGTATCTCACAATCACAACTCCTTGTGATTAACAAATCACTTAAACTTGAATTTTCGGACTCTATTATTTAATATTATTTATCAGAATGTTATTAACACCTCACGAAGAGCAATAGCTTTATTGTATCAGATCGCGTTCAACAGTGCCAGGTTCCACTCATAGTTGAAGAACGAATAAGATTTTCTAAAAGTAGTAATAAAAACAATTGACAGACAAAAACCCTTATACTCCACGATTATATCCTTCTTGTATATATATGTCACTCTTCTTTCAACTTTTGGTATCAGAGTTCATTAGCATAATAAGATATTTTTACATTTGAGTTCAAACAATATATTATGGATTGGTTTGATCTACAGAATGTTTTAGTTCAATGATTATATCTTAATGAACTAAATCTTGATATTTTGACTTGTAACATTAAAAGATTTGCACATACTTCTAGTTTTAAGGGCATTAATTAAATTTTACACTTGAAATAAGTATTTTGAACCTATCATAAATTCACTAATTTCTTTGGTTGGCAGTAGGGTTTGCTTCCCCTAACCTCGAGTTGGTCAAGGAACTGCTATGGGTCAAACTATTCTACTCCACCCCCATTTTTTTTCCCAACTTATACTAAACTAAATCCTGGACTCCCAAGACCCTTGCCCCTAGAACCTTGGGGGGGGGGGGTAAATCGCGGGTTATGCCTCAACTGAATCACAGGTTCCCCCTATCGCCTGTATACTTCTCCGCACAAGAGATCTTCCACCCCCATTTCTTAGTCTAGCTTAGGGGTGGGGAAAGTAATATGTGAAATTTTTATTTTATATATATTAGCCTAGCACATAATTTGATTTAGACACCGTAACATAATTTTCTAGCTTCGCTCCTAGTCTAGCTTGATGATAGCATTTCATAACAACATATAAATCCTGCATTTTTTAACGAAGTTGTAATGTCAAATAGAAATGAATAGTACTCTCTAGCACTATGGTCACACTTGATATGTCCATTCAATTAAATGAATTACGTGACATTGCATTTAAATGAATATATCATTTAATGTCAATGGTGTTGAATAACATTACTCATTAAAAATACATAAATAAAATGCTGCAGTTACATATCGTGCTTCGCATCAAAAGCTGGTAATATTCCAAATAATTTTCTGCTCTTCTGCTGCAAAGCATAGGAGGCGCATTCTTCGTCTTCATCTTCTTCACAAAGAAGAAGAAAATTCAGGAAAACTGAATCAGCAATCTCCAGCCTTGTCTGAGAGGAAGACGAGGCTCCCCAGTTAATAAAAATTTTCATATGATGGGAAAAAATAAAGAAATAAGAGGAAAGTAAGAGCAAATCCAACTCAATCAAGTCAAAGGGATTGTGTCCTTTCTTTTCGGGAATATAAGGATGCTTCTTCAGACCGAACCAGACTCTTCTTTGTTTGAGCTGCTCCCACGCACGCAGACCGGAAGATCTCACTTGTCCTAGATTGGACAAGTAAGTAGAGATCTTCGTGGGACCGTGGAGGGAGTCTCAATCGGTCTTTTATAGGATTCCTCATCACGCCACACATGGAGATTTTTCCATTGATAGATAGGAGGGCCCCCCTTGAACAAATTCTTAAAGGTTGGGTTACTACCCGCTTCTACGGAAGAGGTTGACTTTCTACTGCCCGGAGGTCATATAGATCGAAATAAGAGGAAAGTAAGAGCAAATCCAACTCAATCACAAAAACTAAAAACCTGAGTAAGAGAAAAAAAGGAGTTAGAAAATGATGCATATAAACTAACAAAGAAGTATAAATATATTCGAGTCCTATTCACATTGATGATGAACGTTGAAACTACTCAGCCAAGAGGGAATTTACAAACCTGCCAACAGAAATATCATATTGAACATAAGTTTGAACATCTCTGGCTACATCAGAAGATCTGCCATGTCAAACTACAGATAGAGAGACTCTGAACCATCAAAATCTTGTGCAGATTTTCGTCTCTCATATATGAGAAATGTACCATCAGTTTACATGTTTTCCGAAGAGAGGTATAAGCTGTTTCTCCAAACCTACCAAGCTGAAAGCAAAATATAAGAGGTAAGTATCGAAATCATGCAATAGGCCTATCACTTTTGGGACGAAGGAAAAGGAATGGTAAAATAATGTATGTACATCTCATATTTCATCAAAGCTTCGCTTAGTTTTGCTTTGTAGAGCTCACTATCTCTAGATACGCTGCTCAAACTAGGGCCTGTAAATATGACAGAGAGAAATTTAGCCCTATTTGTCTACCATTATTAAGAGAAAATGAGTTTTTGAATAGTGAATTTTTGGAGAATGTGTGGTTAAAAGTAGGAAAAACTGTTAGGTTCATGTGCAAAATATTTATTAAGAGAATCTATTGAAAATGAATTTGAGAAAAAAAGAGTTTTGAAATAATGGTAAACAAACATGGGCTTAATAATTCATGTCTCACCAAGATGAAAATACTAAAAGATCAAAAGTAAAAAAAGAGGATAGATGAGACGAGGAATATCAAAGCAACAAAATTCACAGAATTTTAATGATGATCATATATTGTACACTAAAATAGATGTAGACTTGAAGGGGACCTTCATAACTGATACCTAGAGGAAAGGCCTTAGATTAACTTCCGATCTGTTACCCGAGTGTTTTAGGGTAAACAAGACAAGATCAGAATTGTGAAAGAACATAAAGAGATTACTCCCTCTTGTTTCTAGCAAATGCATTTAGTCGAGGGAATTCCTTTGGTAATATCACATTTTCAAACGTCAGGTCAAAATATTATACTGGTGCCATTACCCCCTGTAAACATAGAATCAATTCACAAGTGTCTAATTCCACACAAAGTTCCACCCTGTATGGAAATTTGCATACTCTATGATGCCAATATCTGACAATATGGCCAAACTTTTCAGCAGCCATTGTTTTAAAATGCTTTTCAGGGCTTATGCCTCAAGTCCTGCCTCACATGAGGTTTTCATTAAATGCCTCGAAGCTTAAGTCATGAACACATCTGTCAAGGATTATGCCGCATTTCTGAGGCTTGCGCCCAACTTCCCGCCTCAAGGCTAAGCCTAATGGCAGTTGAGATGTGTGCTGATGAGGACATCATTATAGTTGGACTTTTATTATTGTTTCAGTATTTTAGTTGGACTTTTATTATTGTTTCAGTTGGACTTAAATAATGGGCTTGGCCCTATATTTCTAGGTTTTTTTTATTAGTTAAACCTATCTTGGTTTGTTATTTTGGATTGATGAATTTGATGAAATAAAGAGTTGGCTTTGCAGCCGTTCCCCTCTCTTCCCGCCTCTGTCTTCTTCTTCCCTTCCCTCCACCATCTCTTCCTGTTATTTACTGAATTATTAACCTCCCTACATCAAATTGGTATCAGAGCCAAACTTGGGAATTCATCACTGCATCAGAGTAGCTAGGACTACCCTGCAATCTTCGCCAGTCCACATTCGAGAACAGCCAGTATGCAACCTGTTATTATATCTCAAACTCCAGTTGCTGCCAAATCACAACCCCAACCCAGGCTTCTTCAATCCCCGATACAGTAACCACCACGTCCTTCCACTATCGCCAGAAATTCACTCAACACCTAAACTCCCAGAAACCAACCCACTGAAATCAACTCGCACAACCAACCACAATCAATCGATCCATATAACCAGGCGACCAGTCACCCCATCCTAACCTCCATCGCCAGTCAGCGACCCACGGTGGCTCTCTCTCTTGTCGGCAATTCTCAGTCCGACCACAAAAGCCACCTATAAATTGCAACCCAGAAATGAAATCGTCTCAGCTCATCTCTCCGGCAGCTCCCAATCGAAGACCCATGCCATTGATTTTCAGCACGTCGTTCGTACACAAAGCCATCGTCAGCCTTCAATTTTCAATTTTGCTATGCGTGAATCCTGTGAAATTACTTTGGGCTTGATGTTTACCCTAGGCTGTTAGTTGGGTAGTGGGGTAATCTATTAATATTGGGCCTTAGTGTCGTTGGGCTGTGTTAATGTTGGGCATGAGTTATTTTGACATTGTGTGTTTTGAGCCTTTATTATTGTTTGGGCCTTGATTTGTAATCGGTTTAATTATCTGATTTTGTATTATTATTAAAAAAAAAGTCAAAAAAAAATCGTGAATTTTAAATTTTCTGACATCATTTACAGGTTCATTTTAGTTCACTGTTCAGTACCGCACCTCGACGAGCACGGACTTTTCTATCTTGGCATCTCAGGGCTTAGTAGTTCAGAACGTGGAGACATTCGACGCTGGGACGACTCAAACCAACAGTACTCAGGGAGTTCATGATCCTATTTATTTTTAGTTGACGCTATTTCTTTATTTTAGAATTGCATCAATTAATTCGTTGTGTGCTGGCCATTTGATAATATTGCCCTCAACCTATTTAATTATATTCCACGAACTAAATTCCATTGATGTGTACTAGCCCTTTGATAATACTGCCTTAAACCTATTCAATTATATTTCACGAACTAAATTTCATTGCTCAATCGTTTACCCCACGTGACTAGACCTAGTATTTGGACATTTGCTTTTCTATTTTATTAGCATTAGTTGTATTAGCTTGCGATCGAGCCATAAGTAACCCCAAACTTTAAATTGACAAAATAAATAAATAAATAAATAATAATACTAATAATTTCAATAACTAATTCTTCGGTTGGCACTAGTTGATTGTTGATTATTGATCTCAGTAGTGCACTTTACGTAGTCGTGTTACCGTGTATGCAATTGCGTAGTGGTCGCGTTACTGCATCTAGCTCTAGTAACCTTACCATGGACCCCGCCCAAATTGAGGCCCTTACCAAACAGCTTGCACAATTACAAAATCAACTAACAGCTGTCCAAACTGAGGTAGTCGCTACTCGTGAAGAGAATAGAGCCCTAACCGCTAGGTTGAATACTCTTGACCCAATCCCATATTCGACCGAGGCTGAGAACTCTGAGGCTTCCATTAATAGGCCTCATCGTCGCCCACAAGGTGGTCGACACCACGCCCGACATGGTCGTAGGGAAGGGAATCAGGCTCGGGAACGAGAGCGGGGGTATTACCGTCATGGTACACAATCTCTCCCTCGCCACGAGGAGCGCTTCTTTCGAAACATTAAGTTGGATGCCCCTATGTTTGACGGTTGTCTAGATCCTAGTACCTTCAATCAATGGGTTAGAGATATGGATCACTTCTTTGCATGGCATGGGGTCCTGAAAGATCGGAGGGTACAATTTGCTAGTTTGAAGTTAACTGGCACTACTAAACTCTTTTGGGAGAGTGTTGAGGACCTCCTTGAAAGGCGTCATGCTCCCCCTGTTGGGAGCTGGGATGAAATGAAGCGCCGCCTTCAAGAGAAATATTTACCCCAATCTTATAAGGGTAACTTGCTGGATCAATGGAACGCACTTACACAAGGCAATCGACCTGTGACCGAATATGTTGCTCAGTTTGATGAGTTTCGAATGAAATGTCAGGTTGTTGAGGATGAAGTTATGACTTTGAGTAGGTTTAGGCAAGTTTTAAGAGACGAACTTAGGCGCGAGCTTGTCCTTAGGGGTGTCACCACTCTCGACCACGCCTACTCTTTCGTTCGGGATTATGAATTAGTGACTGGGATACCGTATAGAAATCGTAGTGACTCCCGCACTACAACCTCATCCGCATCCACGCCATCCCCTAAGTCTATTCTAGGTCCTCCTCCCTCTAATACTACCCCTGCATCGGATAGCAAAGGTAGAGGTTCTGAGGTTTCAAGGACACCCTCCCGTTTGCAATGCTTCAACTGTACGGGTTTTGGTCACATTGCTTCTAAGTGCCCTAGCCGAGCCCTAGTTCTGGACGAACGTGAGGATATAGTCGTCGAACCACTAGAGGATCAGGTTTATGAGCCTAAGTTAGAAGAGTTTGAAGACTTGGAGGATAGTGAGGATACCTTCTTAGGTTGTATTCAGGCTAGTCTCATTATCCCACATACACCCAAAGTCGGTGTCGTCCGTTGCACCCTCACCCAGCCTAAGGATGCCGACGATTGGCGCCGTCATGCCATCTTCCACACCTACATCAAGATTAATAACAAGGGCTGTAAAGTTATCGTGGATAGTGGCAGCTGTATTAATGCGGTTTCGAAGGCTACTATATCCCGTCTAGGGTTGAAGCCAGTTCCTCACCCCCAACCTTATAGTGTCTCTTGGGTTGACACTTCCTCTATAGCTGTTAAGAAGCGTTGTTTAGTCCCTATCCAGTTCCTGGAGTATAAGGACCATATATGGTGTGACGTTATTTCGATGGACATCGGGCACATCATCTTAGGACGACCTTGGCTATTTGACCTAGATGTAACCATATATGGTCGATCCAATTCCTGTTCCTTCGTGTTTAATGGAAAGAAGATTCACCTTAACCCACTACCCCCAAAGCCGGCTGGTTCACTAGAAGCGAAGAAAAGCGTGGAACAAAAGGGGTTGCATATCATTAGTCCTATAGAGTTTGAGCGTACAATTGTTGGTGACTCAATTGTGTTCGCCTTAGTAGTCATGGAGGTTTCATCTAACTCCACAAGTGAGGATACTGCGGAAGCCCAATCGATCCTTCAGGAGTTTCGAGATGTCTTTCCGGAGGACCAACCTGATCATCTACCCCCGCTAAGAGATATTCAACATGCCATAGATTTCATCCCCGGTGCATCCCTTCCAAATTTGCCACATTATAGGATGAATCCTACCGAGCACGCTGAGCTCCAAAGGCAAGTGGATGACCTTCTCAACAAAGGATTCATTCGTGAGAGTTTAAGCCCATGTGTTGTCCCTGCCCTATTGACACCCAAAAAGGATGGATCTTGGAGAATTTGTGTGGATAGTCGCGCTATCAATAGGATCACGGTGAAGTATCGTTTTCCCATTCCCAGGCTTGATGATATGCTGGATATGATGGTTGGCGCGACAATCTTTTCAAAGATCGATCTAAAGAGTGGGTACCATCAAATTAGAATTCGCCCAGGGGACGAGTGGAAGACCGCGTTTAAGACGAAAGATGGCCTTTATGAATGGCTGGTCATGCCTTTTGGGCTAAGTAATGCGCCGAGTACCTTCATGCGGGTAATGACACAAACTCTTCGGCCGTTCATGGGTAAATTTCTCGTTGTCTACTTTGATGACATCCTCATCTATAGTAAAACTAAGGAGCAACACCGTGACCACCTCAAACAGGTTTGCTCTACCCTTCGCGAGACTAACCTGTATGCTAATGTCAAGAAATGTTCCTTTTTCACCGATAGCGTAGTTTTTCTGGGGTTCATTGTCTCGTCGACAGGGGTGTCTGCTGACCCTACTAAGATTCAGGCGATAATTGACTGGCCTGAGCCTAAGGCCATTCATGATGTCACGAGCTTTCATGGCTTAGCTACGTTTTACCGCCGTTTTATTAAAGGGTTTAGCACTATTATGGCGCCTATCACGGAGTGCATGAAGAAAGGAGAGTTTCATTGGACACGAGGGGCGGCGAAGGCCTTTAAGTTAGTCAAGGAGCGAATGACAGAAGCTCCTGTCATGCGTCTTCCCGATTTTTTCAAAGTCTTTGAAGTTGAATGTGACGCTTCTGGGGTAGGTATAGGCGGAGTCTTAAGTCAGGATCGTCACCCTGTCGCCTATTTCAGTGAAAAGTTAAATGAGGCCAAACGACGATATTCAACGCATGATAAGGAACTGTATGCGGTGGTCTAGGCTTTGCGCTATTGGCGCCACTATTTGTTGCCTCAAGAATTTGTCCTTTATTCAGACCACGAAGCCCTCCGTTACCTCAACTCTCAGAAGAGGTTAAGTTCCAGGCATGGACGTTGGGTTGAATATTTGCAGGCCTATTCATTTGTTTTAAAACACAAGAAGGGCGTGGAGAACCAAGCAGCTGATGCGTTAAGTCGTCGTGTCTCCCTTTTGTCGATCATGAGTGTCAAGGTCATTGGTTTTGAAAGGCTTAAGGAGGATTACGAGGCATGCCCAGATTTTAAGGATATCTTTCTCGATTTGCAAGGAGGACAATCAAACAGCACAGATGGCTTTCGACTTGAGAAGCGTTATCTCTTTCGAGCCAATAAATTGTGCATCCCTCGAATTTCAGTGCGAGATTTTATAGTGTGGGAAGTTCGCGCGGGAGGGTTAGCCGGTCACTTTGGGCGTGATAAGACCATTGAGGAGGTTGAACGCCAATTCTATTGGCCTAGTTTAAAGAGAGATGTGGCTAAAATTGTTAGTACATGTAACACTTGTCAATTAGCCAAACAGAAGAAGGAGAACACAGGCCTATACACTCCTCTCCCCGTCCCCAATTGTCCTTGGTAAGACGTTAGTATAGATTTTGTGCTAGGCCTGCCACGCACCCCAAAGAAGCATGATTCTATTTTCGTGGTTGTCGATCGTTTCTCGAAAATGGCTCACTTTATCCCCTGTAGCAAAACATCGGATGCGTCCAAGGTTGCCATGTTATTCTTTAATGAGATTGTCAAACTGTATGGGCTTCCCAAGACCATCGTGTCCAATAGGGATGTTCGCTTCACTAGTCATTTTTGGAGGACTTTGTGGCATAAGATGGGTACCAAATTAAAATTTTCTACAGCCTACCACCCTCAAACTGACGGTCAGACCGAAGTTGTTAATCGGAGTCTTGGTAACTTATTACGTTGTCTGGTCCAGGAGAACCTTCGAAATTGGGATTTAATCCTTCCTGTCGCTCAGATCGCGTATAATAGCTCCGTAAATCGTTCATTAGGTATGAGTCCATTTGAAGCCGTTCACGAATACAAGCCTAGGAAACCATTAGATCTCATCCCTCTGTCCCCACAAGCTAGAGTGTCAGTATCAGCCGAAGCATTTGCACAACACCTTCGTGATTTGCACATTGAGATCAATAAACAACTTGAAGCTAGTAGCCAAACAGAAGAAGGAGAACACAGGCCTATACACTCCTCTCCCCGTCCCCAATTGTCCTTGGTAAGACGTTAGTATAGATTTTGTGCTAGGCCTGCCACGCACCCCAAAGAAGCATGATTCTATTTTCGTGGTTGTCGATCGTTTCTCGAAAATGGCTCACTTTATCCCCTGTAGCAAAACATCGGATGCGTCTAAGGTTGCCATGTTATTCTTTAATGAGATTGTCAAACTGTATGGGCTTCCCAAGACCATCGTGTCCAATAGGGATGTTCGCTTCACTAGTCATTTTTGGAGGACTTTGTGGCATAGGATGGGTACCAAATTGAAATTTTCTACAGCCTACCCCCCTCAAACTGACGGTCAAACCGAAGTTGTTAATCGGAGTCTTGGTAACTTATTACGTTGTTCGGTCCGGGAGAACCTTCGAAATTAGGATTTAATCCTTCCTGTCGCTCAAATCACGTATAATAGTTCCGTAAATCGTTCATTAGGTATGAGTCCATTTGAAGCCGTTCACGAATACAAGCCTAGGAAACCATTAGATCTCATCCCTATGTCCCCACAGGCTAGAGTGTCAGTATCAGCCGAAGCATTTGCACAACACATTCGTGATTTGCACATTGAAATCAATAAACAACTTGAAGCTAGTAATGCAAATTATAAACTACAAGCTGATTTACATAAACGACATATTGAGTTTAATGTTGGGGATTACGTTATGGTTTGCATTAGGTCAGAGCGGCGTCTACATGGACCCGCCTCCAAATTGCAAGCTCGTAGTGCTGGTCATTTTAAAATTTTAAAGCAAGTTGGTCCAAATGCATATATTGTCAACATTCCATCCCACATTGGTTACCACCATACTTTCACTATTGAAGACCTTGTAGCTTATAAAGGCCATTTCATTCCCTCAGATCATCCCCTGTTACCTCCTTTTGTGGACCTTGATCCTAATTCTTTGGCCCCCTCTAACCCACTACCACCTCTCACAGCACACACAGATAAAATTGATGCTATTTTAGATGAAGAAACTGTACTCACTAATGATGGAGAGTTTCAGCGCTTCCTTGTTCGTTGGGTTGGTCGACCAGATTCTGATTGTGCATGGATCTCCAGGGAGACACTACAGCATTTGGATCCAGATTTGCTAGAGCTTTATCGGAGTCAGCAGGATCTTCCTTGGCCCAGATCGCCTCCCGTCCACCCGAGGGGAGTTGATGAGGACACCAAGTTCAGACCGCCACTGACGCATTTCTACAGACGCCGAAAGAAACTTGCCCAACCACTCAGCTAATGGTTGGGAGATTGACGAGAGTCTACAGTGATATATCCACTCGACAGGGTCGAGTTTTCTCCCACCCCGGGAGAGTTGATGAGGACATCATTATAGTTGGACTTTTATTATTGTTTCAATATTTTAGTTGGACTTTTATTATTGTTTCAGTTGGACTTAAATAATGGGCTTGGCCCTATATTTCTAGGTTTTTTTTTTATTATTTAAACCTATCTTGGTTTGTTATTTTGGATTGATGAATTTGATGAAATAAAGAGTTGGCTTTGCAGCCGTTCCCCTCTCTTCCCGCCTCTGTCTTCTTTTTCCCTTCCCTCCCCCATCTCTTCCTGTTATTTACTGAATTATTAACCTCCCTACATCATGCGCTCATTTGTCTTGCCTTTTTTGAAATTGTATACTGGCTTTAGTTTTTTGGCTATTTGTTTTATAACCTATAAAGTTTCATCATTTTTTATGTTCTCTACTTTCTACCTTTAGATGGAAGGGAAAGAAAAGGCACCATTACAAGTTGAGGATGATGACATACTATGAGAAGATAAGAGAATACTTGTAGACCATTTCTACTCATAGTAGGATTACAATTTTTTATGTGACTGCTAATTTTGAACTTATTATTGCTACTTTATTGATCTATTTTTCATTTTTAATTTCTAGTTAAGACTTTAAATTTTTCGTTATGATTTTTAAGATGGTTTATGGTTTATTAGGAGCATATTTCTGTATTTTTATATTGTTTTGAATTATTAAATTCCTATGTCTTGAGGCTTACGCCTCGTAATAGTTTGAGATTTATGACTCGTCTCATAGACATAAAATGCAAAAGTACCTGATTGACCCTTTATAAGCATTGTTAGCAATAAGAATAAGCTGATGCAACTGAGTGCATTTAATCAACTTAGATTACTATTGAATTTTGAATTTGAAACATGCAGATTAAATTCACTCAAAGCTTGTTAATGCATTTTTGGTGTGAAATCATATTTGTCAATTTTGAATAATGGTACTTCTAGAGTTGTCCTACTTCTGTGTCTCAGCCAATAAATAGTTAGTCGTGAATATGACATGTGGCACATCGAAACATCACAACTATGTAGGTATTTGATGTTGTCATAAAGAAAATGGATTTGCCTACCATTACAATGAAGTGATTCCTTCCTCTGATCAATCTTTCTGGCTATCTATCCCTGTCCAATTGAGAATGGATTAAATGTAAACTACATATTCATACTCAAAAACAATCATTTATTGCTAGAATCCTTCGCTTGAAATATAATGGTACAGCCAAACAAAAAGTCACCATCAATTTCAAAGGCTGGAACCAAATAATGTCAGATCAACATAAATCCTTGAAATGATGTTCTATAAGTATTAAAGCATTAATAAAATTGAAAAATTGGATCTATGTTTAACGGATCATACTTACTAAGAAAAAGTATTTTGTTTGGGTTCGACCTATCGTCGCATATGAAATAATGGATAATATAAATTTAGCGGATCTCCCAAAAAAGAAAAAGAAAAAGAAGTTTGTATCGAAGTATATACTTCGACTTTTTTGTGCTAGAACTTTGGCTCAGAAACACAAAAGGTATTGTACGTTCTTTTTTTGAAAAGACTTCCAATTACGTAAATCAATAGTTCAAAATAGATTGGAACAATGATGTGAAAACAACAGTTTACTGCTGAGAATTTTTTTATTTTTTGGAAATTTAGTTTCGTTATTGGCGCTGATATTGGAAAGGAACAACATACTTCTTTTTTCCAACCACAAATCAACATCACCAGAGTAAATATTGTAGTATTCTTTGACAGGTCTTCCCCAACACAAAACATGAAGAGAATCAAAGACAGAAAGCAACCATGAAAAGCCAACTACTGAATTAGATTTCTGCTTTGGCTGACACTGTGTGAATCCATTAGTGGTATCTTGGTCAAGACTGCTAAACTGTTATCAAATGAGCTCAAACTACAAGCACAATCAGTGCAGAATCTTCAGACCCTAAAATTATTCCAGAATGATGCAGAAAATTCATAAGGAATCCGCCAAGACTTTCAGCTTTTGTCTCTTTCTTGAAGGAACGTAACAAACTAAAATGTTTTAACATAGAATTTCTTTTTATCCCATGTCATGAACATAACAAGGTTGGTCACGGACTTGAATATCAAAAGAACAAGTTTTTAAGCAAAAGACAACAGCTAGCACGTAAAACTCCAATTATTCACATAATTCAAAGTAATATTGAGAAATAGGTTTCATTTATAGCTGAAGCAAAGTATTAATATTATTCCTGAGAATACTAGAAAATGCACCATGTTAGAAAGATTTCTTCAATTTTTGACTGAAGATATTATCTTTATTTCAGATTCAAACTGCATCTTGTGGAAGAAAAACGGAAAAACAATCATTCGTCCCTTTAGTTTACTTAATTGGATTCTCATGTCACCAAAGAAACACAACAGTCCTTTAGTATTGCGCAACAGCATGATCCAGTGAGCTAGGAATACTCAATCATGGATGCTTACCGAATCTTTTTTTTAATCTTTCCTCTTTTTTTTTTTTTTTTGGTCTTTTAAAGGAAAAGAATTCTGAACCTATTCCTCACACATTGGGCCCAGTGTGGGACCAAAGCCGTATCTCCTATGGACTGTTGGGCAAAGATTCATTGATAATCTGGACTCTAATACCAGTGTTAGGTGGTCCTGGGCTTCTCAACCCCAAAAACTAACACAAGAGGTGACACTTTTCCTTACATTTATAAATTGACCACCGATCCCTTCCACAACCGATGTGGGATAACCTTAACAAAAATAATGTGCACCAGAGCAGAGCCCCAAGATAGATACTATGTTGGATAATTACTAATATTTGAAGAACGCGGAATCTCCCTCAATTATAGAATTCTCCCAAGATTCACAAATAATTACACCTGTAAAGATTAAAATCTTCAAAACTGTTACACAAAATAGATTCTGTGGCGGCAAATGACATCTTTCTAATCATCATATTCAGGGCACTTCTACTCATTTATTTGCCTATCAGTAGTAGTTATAGAGGCAAAAGTGTACTGAACACATCAAATCCCAGAAACCCAGACTGCTCAACCGAGCTGAGCTTTATCCCATATGATGGGCAACCATACGAATCTTCCTCTCCCACTTCCATGTAATGCTTGGGACCAAAGGTAACCACAAAGACTCCGATCCATCTTAGAGAAACTATTAAACTTGTACTTTAAAAACTTTGCAAGAGTCAGCTTTTCATATTGAAAGGCGAAAGCTATTGACCTAAAATTTCCCAATGTGTCAAATAAGAAGGTAACATTCATTACAAGGTTTTGTTCAAGAACCAAAATTAACATCTAGTTTATTTATTACAGGCAGTTAATGTGTTGCACAATTTCAAAGAAATTAATTCATATAGGGAATGCCAATGCACCGCCATCTAGCACTTTACCCTTTCTTTATCCTCATGCTCTTGGAACAACAATCAGGGAAAAAAAAAAGCTATAACGACTCCAAGCTATCAAAAGTTAGCAGTACTTCGAATATATGTCGTGCCATTATTCAAATAGAACTAGATGGAAACAGCAGGAACAGAAACAGATTGGTCAAAAAACACCCATCATCAAAATGACATTCCTTGAAAAAAAAATAATAATAAATAAAAAAAGGTCGTATGGGAACTGCTCAAACCAATATGCTTGAAATCCAAACCGTAAAAACAAGTCTATGTAGTTAAAACTATGAAGGAATAAATGCCTCAAAAAAAGGTCCAGAAATTGTCTATATAGTATCTTGAGAAATACCATCTTATATTTTCCAGTGGCATCTTCTCAACATTTCCATCAAAAAACCCAATTGAACCATTCCAACATATTCAAAATTCAAAAATGTCCAGACCTTTAACCAACAACAAATAAATAAAACGACCATTCATTCTAAATTTCAATTAAAAAAAAAAATGATACACACACACACACACCCACAATTAAGCAAACACGAAAAACTAATAAAAACTATACAAAAAACATCAGAGATACACAATTACAAAAACATAAAAATACCAGCTTTACCTTTCGCTTCAAGATTTTGGCATGGCATATCTTGGTATAGTGAAGCAAATGGTGGCGCGCATGATTAGAATGCAATTTGTCACAGATTTCCGGGTTTGCACTCAGCCAATCTAACACATCATTGGATTTAATTACCTCAGTTTTGTCCAGTGATTCCAGCCAAGAATAAACAGGCTTCCATTGTTCAGTGCGCTGGAATCTATGATCATGCTCTTTTCCCATCTATAAAATACATAATGAAAGACCATTAAGGATACAAAATACCTTTAGAAACCGAAATAGAAATTGAAGTTTTTAAATATAAAGGGGAATAACCAAGGATTGCTGATCTTTGTTGGGCATCTTCTTGTAGGCGGGCTGTGCAGCGAGTAAAATAGCATCGTAATATTTGCTTCAGTGTTTTGCTTCTACATACAGAAGGAAGAGACAAAAGGAAATGATATAATCTATGCAAGATTACAAGAATTAGAATTTTCATTTTTGTTGTTTATAGATCGAGCATTATTCTATTAAGGTTGAATTTTCTGTCCTTCTACGGATTATAATTATGACATTTGAGTCCTCAACTTCTAGAAGCCAAGTTCTGAGTATGATAAATAATACATTGCATGAATCACAATTAATTTCCAAACATGATTTTTTGTGGTTTTATCGACGTGACACAACTATCAGACGTATTTGTACTTAAAACGTAAAAGACGTCATATTGCTATCAAATTTTAAAGTCCATGTTAGGATTTAGACAATAAACATAGAACACGAGTTTTTGGATGACTAATATTAAAATCATATTAATATTCAGGGTTATAATTGTGACAAGTATTAATTGAGTGGTTCAATAGGGAATTTACTGAAAGTTAAATAGTCAAAAATGAATAACCCAAATTGTATATGTACTTCTACCACAACCTTAATTTAATTGTATGTGACACACATGCATATTCGATAATCTTATGATATGAGTTATAATTACATGTCTACACTTTATATTAATATTGTAACTGTTTCGCGCGGATAGTCGCTAACAATTAAAAATGGATCAGACGATTGTGTAAGGAACAAATCTCTTGAGACAAAGTCCCAAAAATGGGTGTTTTATTGGCGATGACTTTACAATTGGAACTAAACAAAATGCCTCCAAGGGGCGCAAGCACACGAGTACTGAAAAGAAATGTTTAAGTCTAAACTAAAAAATTGAAATTACATATTCTCTGTTTGAGAGTGTTTGATTCGGGTCCTTTACTCTATGTCTTCTCTTCCTTTTATATTCCCTTGATGATTTCTTCATGATCAACTGCTTAGAAACTGCTTGATTGCTTTGTAACTACCCACTTTCTTTATGGTGGCTAACGTGTCGTGGAACTGCCGTCTCTAACTGCTGTCACTACTCTTTGTCGTTCAACCGTCTTCAACTGAACTCCTTGAATCGTGGATCGTAATAAGGTTACTCGATAACTGCTTCAATAACTGCACTTCTGGATAACCATAACATCTTATGTTTGCCAAGATCCTGAGCGATTCGAAGATTTGGGCGAGATCAGGGTCATAGCTCTGGGCGACTGTAAGGCACTTCATTCGCTCAGATCTTGGACGTCTTGCAAGTTTAGGCGATGAAGTTACCGTGTTCGTGGGCTTCCACTGCATTCATTAGTAACCCTATTTGGGCCTTCATCCTGAATTTCCAGTTGGGCTTCATTCTTTGGGCTATTTGATTTGGGGATTCTCCAATTGGACTTCATTTCCCTGGGCTATTCAATTTGGGCTACACTTTTAGTGTATCAACATTTACCCTCCAATATGGCAGTTTGCGCTTCTTTCTCGCCATACCAATGTTCATCTTCTTGCTTCTCTGCTACGTTTCTCGAGCAAACTTTAACAAAACTGTATTTCATTCCCAATGGCTGCTCCACGAACCCAATCTGACGACTCTTTTAGCATCGATGATTTCCAGAAAATCCTCACTCGATCCTCACTCGGCCATATGTAAATCCGAACTTTCTTGCACCAGCCAATGCCGAACTTAATGAGTTTTATCTGGGTCCTTCATTCACCAACGCCGAAGCCGTCGAACAAGTGGCGGTGGGCCAGCTGTTTCCTTGTACTCAAGGCCCTCATTTCTTGAACTCCTTGCCGCTGGGGCCTATTCGCGAAAAAGGTATTCGTACTTGGCCTAAATCTGATGTTATTTTCCGTAGATGGCATGCTCGTCTTGTGGGCTATGGTCCTACCAAGGCAATTTTTGATCGTGCTAGGATTTCTGATTTATTAGAAATCTCTCTTCAACCCCCAATTTTTGACCCAGCACTTTTTCCTATTACTTTAAGTTTTTGGTCTTCTAAATATAATACTTTTGTTTTTCCTCTTGGTCCCCATGTCAATCACTTTAAGGGATGTTGGGGCCCTGATAAATCTTCCACCTTTGGGCGACACCATTTTCCCTGGTATTTTGATTTCTGGTGTTGCCCCAAAATTTGACAAAAAACTCACCGAGTCCTATTCAAGCTTGCAAAGTTGTCATAATCACTCAAGCGTTGAGTCTTCCCACACTAAGCGTGTGGCCTTTCTTCAGATATGACTTTGTAAATATATTCTGTGTGTGCCCAGTTTGAAGCCTTCTATGAGCTATTTACCTATAGCGCACGAATTGGCGCGTGGTAGGCCTTTGAATTTGTGTTCCTTCTTTTTGGCTGCCCTCTATAGAGGCATCTCTCTTCAATTTCAACTGAAGAATGATGCATCTCCCACCGGCAGTGGGCCTCTTTGGTTCGCTCAACTGTGGTTGAGAGCCTATTTTCCATCACTTGGTGCTCTATCTATGTCCCTTCGATCTGCTAGCTGCTATGGGCTAGCCATTGACCCATTGAGCCCTGTAAATATGTCCAGAATGGACATTTTTTCATTCTTTTATACTTTAAATTCAATTCCTTCTTTCTTTCCCTTTTTTGCTCATTTAACTCCAGATTATGTGCAACCTCCATCCACCCTGCACAATGCGAGCGCCTCTCTGCTCGTTTGGGTTCAGTTTTTGACTGGGAGGGAGTTGTTCCATGATATTTTAACTGGAACCAATGCCAAAGTTGGGGTTGAAATATATGCTCCCCAATTTTTTGCTCGCCAACTTGGTTTTGGCCAAACTTGGCCTGTTCTCCCTTGTTATTCAAAAAATTTGATAGATTGCTTTCACACTATTATAAGGTAGTACAAGCTATAGATGCTCGTAATATTCTTTTAACGAGTAACTTTTCATTAGCCCCCTTCAATCCTAACCGTGCTGTTCACCCCCTTTTTGAACAACTCTGGCCATCAGTGAAGCGCAGATTATTTTCAATTGATGCCAATCGTGCTTTCCATTCACTGGATCAGCTGAACATTCCTTCCACTTCTCCTATTTTGGTCACCCCTATGTCCATTAGGAATCCTTCCTCCCCTACTCGTGCTAAACAATCTGCTCGTCCCTCTACTTCTCTACCTGCCAAACCTACTACAGCTAAGAGCGCCCCAAGCCGCAAACGGCCAGCTTCATGATGATGATGATAATGATACTCCTCTCATCATCAGGAGAAAGGTAATTGAATTGAATTCTATTTACTCACGAGCATACCTTTCTATGTGCTAATGGTTTTCTTGAATTTTTCAGAAAAGTTCAGCCTCTCCTTTGAAGGCTTTGGTGTTGGCAGCTCCTGCTCCATCATCCTCTGCTGGAGCTGCTTCGTCCAAACCAGCTGATGAAGGGACTACGCTTAAAGAGAAACCTTCAGTCCCGGAACCTTCATCACAATCAATGGACGAGCCACCTTCTTTCCAGGGCGCCGACCCCCCAAACGTCGAACCAGAAGGTAATACATTTTTTATGTTTTACCTTTGCTTGTGCTATTGGTTTCTGATTTGTTGCTTCTTTAATCATGTAGAGGCTCCCATGGGTCTGCCCGTTGTGGCAGAGTCTTCTCGCTCAGACAAGGGGAAGTCTTCCCTGGTGGTGGGGCCACAGGTGGTGGAGCCAACTGGTGATATGCCACCCCCCAAGATTGCTGATGAGGTAACCTTTTGCTTCACTTTTATTTTCACTTTGTTTATTATAGTGAAAACTTTCAATGTTGGCATTTTTCTTTGCAGGATGCTGATGAGATTGTGCGTTCCATCCAGGACTTGTTCACTTCCTGGGGGCAAGTCAAGACGTCTCGCCTTGCTTCAACTGATCGTCCTTCTGCTTCTTCAGAGGAAGACATGAAGTTCCTCAAGCAGTTGATATTTAAGTATGTATCTTTTATAGATATGGACATCGGTCAGGCTAGTGCTGCCAAACATAAGGATAAACTTGAGCATTTGAGTGCGAAGTTGGCACAAGCACTGACACTTCCGTCCCTCAACATTTCTGCTGATTTTAAAGCGATGTTGAAAGTTATCCACTCTGACATCCTCTCTTTGCTGGCCAAAAATGTTAAACTGAAGGCCAAGAGTACTCAATATCTTCGTGCTGCCTCTGAAAGAGAGTCTTTGTTTCGGGAGATCAACAAAGCTAAGGACGAATTGAAAGAAATCTCTTCTGAAGTCATGATTGAAGACTCTTTGATGACCAGTTTGGCTGCACAGATGAAGGAGCTTCAAGAAAGGATGGATGACTGCAAGGCAAGAATGGCTGCTAAAAAGCGTAATGCTTCTCAAGGAATTGAGCGAACCAAGTCTTTGGTCGAGCAATACAAGAAGCTGGAGGTTGATGATGATTATATAGCTAAATTGAATGTCATTTCTTCTCAGCAGAACGAGGATTGGGGGAGACTTAAGGAAATAATTCGTTCGGTCTGGGGCGAATTGTAATTAAGACATCTAATGCCGTAACTTTTCTTTTTGTAACTTCGTATTAACTTTCCTCTTGTAACCTCGTACTGATAGTCATTGCCAATTTTGGATGTAACAGCAGCCATTGTCATTAATGAATAACTAATTTGTCTTCTTGTGTATTTATTGACGTTTGTCCTTAATTGTCAAACCTCCAAGCATTTAACTGTTTTATGATAATATTCATGTACATTCTCTTTTGGTATTTCTATCTCTTTTCCCAAGACTTTAGGCCCTTTGACTCCAATTACTAGGCACGAATGTGGTTATTCATATTCTATCTCTTCACCTTCACGCCCCTATAAATGCACGTATATTTCGCACTTTTCACTTTCATTTCCATTCTTTTCTTCGAAAACTAATTCGCAGCCATCATTTGGCATTTCAACGATCGTTCCAGAATTTTCGTCTACCATAGAAATTGATCATTTCATCCACCCATTTTGCCACTTGTTTTGATGTCACCTTTGGTATGGGAGATATAGGAAATATTCTTTGGCCAGCAAAGTTCTTTCCATCGTCTCCATGTTCTTTACAAGGAGTTCAATGATGGAAGACAATTTTTTAGGATCTCTGTCAAGCCACCTTGCTTGCTGAGAGTGC